TTTTTTAGAAGTAGTAATGAATATGTATTAGTCTGGTGCATAAAAATCAGCTGCTTGATGTAACTGGTGTGCGTCCTGGTGGAGCAGAGACTCCCGGTGCACCCAGCGCTGTTTGCTTACCTCTATTCCTTTATATTCTTTTAATAAATCCTATTTTTTTATTTAATCCTAATTTGAATCCTGAGCCATTTATAACAAGGGGACTGTTTTCTTGCAGGTGGGGTTGTTTTCTTGCAGTTGTTTGTCTGAGTGCTTTTGACCAATAATCTTGTGTGAAACACTGTCCACCCCTGTTAAGTTCTCTATAAAAGTTAGGCTATTCGGGCAATAAAATGGAGCATGATCTGACTCTACTGTGTGTCTGTCGTGCTTTCGGCCGTGCTTCCTGCAACATATGGCGCCCGAACAGGCTGAGACCTGACCAGGACCTGCACAGACATCGCACCGGAGCAGGACATCGCAGCACCGGAGCAGACATCGCAGCCGAGCACGGACATCGCAGCGGCGCCGGGGCAAACATCGCAGCGCAGCGGGACACCAGCGGCGCCGGCACATCTGAACGCAGGTAGACCAGGAGACCAGCGGCGCCGCGATCTCGCCGCGCCGTCGGGACTTCGGAGCGCCCATCCGAGCGGCGCTTGAGCAGAGCGGACACCGGCCCGGACACACGGTACACAGGCCTCACGGTGAGACGCGGTACTCCCGCTGAGAGACGCGGAACACGGTGGGAAATAGAGTCGCGGCGGGACGTGGAATTGCGGAGGGCCGCGGGAAATGGACGTGATCACGGTGCGATGCGGGACATCCGAGATCGAGCTGCTACGGGAGACCAGAGGCATCAGCGGACAACGGCAGCCGACCCTCAGCGTGTGGCGAGTCGGCACAGAGCAGAGGGGCGGACATCAGGACCCTGCAGCCTGTCTGACGTGACCATGGAGGCAGCGGCGGCTGTGCTGCTTCTCTCTGGCATTCTTTTTATAAGAGGTTTATCTTGCAATGCAAAAAAGACTCTTCGTCCCCAGATCGGTGTTATAACTATGTTTCTGGATAACATTCCGTGGGGTTGCCTCAGTCTACGGACTATTAATGACGATTTAGCTCTATTGCGGGGCAGGAGTGCAGAGACGCGGATTACACTGCCAAATGCCCACCGGCAGGCTCGTTCACAAACAGCTTCTAGGATTGCAGCCGGCACTGCCTGCAGCCGTATAGCAGACGTTACACTCTCTTTCCTAACTAGTAATCATGTGTCTCATCCATTTGTGGTGAATGGTCAGTGGCAAAAAGAAAAGGGGGAGAGTAAGGGGCGGCAAAGACAGAAACGGTACCAGGAGGATGCCACTGACACTGACGGCACGGGTAATAGGAGTAGTATAAGTGACATAGGTGCAGGGCGGCGGCAGGCACTGCCGCGCTGTGGGGCGCTCTGCCTGCTGCTCGCCCTCACCTGCCTGTGCACTGCTGCCGACAGTGCTAGAGCAAAATGTGAAGACTGCTCAGACGGCAGTGATGAGAGTGCTTGTGTGAAGAAGACGTGTGCTGAATCTGACTTTGTGTGCAACAGTGGTCAGTGTGTGCCAAACAGATGGCAGTGTGATGGGGATCCGGACTGTGAAAATGGGTCTGATGAGATTGCTGATCTGTGTTATATGAGAACATGCCAGGTAAATGAAATCAGCTGTGGTCCTCAGTCAACCCAGTGTATCCTGGTGTCCTGGAAATGTGATGGTGAAAAAGACTGTAACAGAGATCCTGATTGCAAGGATGGAAGTGATGAAATTAACTGCCCTTCTCAGACCTGCAGGCCAGACCAGTTCAGATGTGAAGATGGGAACTGTGTCCATGGGAGTAGGCAGTGCAGTGGTGTGAGAGACTGTCTGGATGGCACTGATGAAGCAAACTGTAACGATGTTATTCAGTGCTCAGGACCTGGCAAATTCAAGTGCAGAAGTGGAGAATGCATAGATATCAACAAAGTGTGTAACCAGCAGAGAGACTGCAAGGACTGGGGTGATGAGCCCCTGAAGGAATGCAACATACATGAATGTGACTGTCCAGCTGGGTTTGAGTTTGTAGACAAGAGAAACTGTGGAGATATTGATGAATGTCAAAACCCTGGTATCTGTAGTCAAATCTGTATCAACCTGAAAGGTGGCTACAAATGTGAACGTAGCCGTGGCTATCAGGTGAATCCTGCTACAGGAACCGGGAAAGGGCCATACTGGTACAAAAACACAAATAACACCTGTGATTACAATGACGCTGCTAAGCAGGATTTAGGGGTTTGTAGCATGGAGACAAGGGGTAACAACTACAGTGTTTGGAACAATTGTGCAGCTTTGGCCTTACCTCCTGATGTGCTTCTGATTTGTGGGGATGGGGCCTGGCAAGGTATCCCTGCAAATGCTATCAGATGTCCATGTTACTTAGATAAACTCATTGTATTTGCTCCTAGCTTATTACAGTTGCGTGAGATCACCAGACATAAATGGGCATTGCTTGCATCGGATTGCAATGATAATGTTGAATTGTGTGGGGTTGCAGCTAGAGCGGCATTAGCAATTTCAGTGCCTGGAGTGGCATCTGCGGCCGCACGTAACAACTTAGAAAAATTGGTATGCTGGGCCAAGAGGCAAGCCTATGCCACGACAGAGATACTTGAGGAGATGTTACCAGATCAAAATAGTCTGCGACATCTGCTTTTACAGGATCAAGCTGCTATTGACATCTTGCTTTTGGCTCAAAGAAATGGGTGTGAGGACTTTAAGGGAATGTACTGTTTAAACCTTTCTGATCATAATGAGTCAATTCACAAATCCATTACTTTCCTGAAAGAGCATATGAGAAAGATTCAGTATGGTATCAATCCTTTCAATCAATGGTTCACTGACTTGTTTGAAACAAGGTGTAGATGGTTGCTGGGTTTAGTCACAAGGGGATTAAGGATTTGGTTTATGGTGGTGGTAATCATCGTTGTGTGTTGTAAGTATAGCTAAAGAGTCACTTGTAAAACTGCTGTGTCGGGCTTGGTTTGCTCAAAAGAAGAAGGGGGAATTGTTGAGGGATTTCTTGAAACAGCAAAAATCCCATGGCTTGCTGTAGCTGAGCAAACCAAGCTACCAGGGCAACTATGAGAAGTTCCCATGACAGTGTTCCCACATCGCCCAATTGAGGAACTCAGAAAAATATTGTTACCAGTAGCTGGCTTCAAGGACAAGGTCTATGTGACTGCTAATCACAAGGGGGTTGTTTTCTTGCAGGTGGGGTTGTTTTCTTGCAGTTGTTTGTCTGAGTGCTTTTGACCAATAATCTTGTGTGAAACACTGTCCACCCCTGTTAAGTTCTCTATAAAAGTTAGGCTATTCGGGCAATAAAATGGAGCATGATCTGACTCTACTGTGTGTCTGTCGTGCTTTCGACCGTGCTTCCTGCAACACACAGATACACAAATTGCTGGTTTTGATAGGGCTCTGGCAAAGACAGATTGGTCTAAAAGCATGGAAGGGTGAAATTTAGCCATACATTTGGGACTGTGTACTTCTAAAATTTCAGAATAACCACTTGGGGTGTAAAAACTGAGAACACCTCCTTTGGATCCAGTAGATCATTCATACCTTTTATAGCAGAATTGCAGGTCATCTTCATAATCCTCTTTTGTCCTAATAGCAAATATTGGATGTTGCTTCTATGTTCACAGTGTCTGTTAAGAGTATTTTATGTTTTCGGCTGCAAGGGGTAGCAGGTGGGAAATACCTTTTTGTGTGTGTTTGGGGGGGGGAAGTTAAAAGTCCATTCATACTTTATTTTGCCACGTGATATTTTCGTAATCTCAGTTGGAATCAGAGAATGCATACACTCTGTTTTCAACTGTAAAATACTGTAACATTCAGACATGTATTTAGATAAAAGGTATCATTCTGGTTACATTATTACTGTAGATAATCAGAAGGACCTGTGCAGTTTTTTCAGTTGCTCTATATGAGTTGTGAGTGTTTCTTTTGAGTCTGAGCATTCAAAATACAGCCTTATGAAACAAAATAACTGCATTAAAATTCAAAGCCTAGTATAAACTTTGGCATTTTCATTTGTTGTACTTTAATGAACGTAGTCCAGTTTATTGTTGTTAAACTGTTGTATTGTTGTTAAAATTTCTAGTACTTATTTTTAAGGAATAGCACAAATACAGTTTTTAAATTTAGATGTGGCACACTACTTGTCCTTCACTTGGTATCAAGTTATTCCTTGCTTTAAGACATTTTTTGTCTAAACAAGTATTACTTTGTAATGCTAACGTCACACACCTTTGTGTACTTAGGACTCCGTAAAATGTATTTTTCTATTTGCTTGTTCATAAAAGCAGGGAATTAATCTTGCGTTCTCTTATTACAAATAAAGGAAAACATTTATTCTTAAGGCTGCCAAGATTCTTTAAATTTCAGTGATAGTGCTGAAGACCTGCATCCACCAGAGGCCAGTAGTGCACTTCTTACAGCGTGCCATTGAGCACTGAATTCACCCAGCTGCCACACGGATTAAATGTAGTGCTTCAGAATATTAACAACAACAAAATTAATCTGCTTTGCTTGCTGAAGAGCCTACAGATATTTTCTCTGTATATTTTCCCTGTGTGTAGCTGTGTATATTAATACACATGCACAGACGTGTATTTCTCATCATTTAGAGAGCAATACTGATTACCAGTAAAACTTTACGTCTTCTTGCTCGTCTGATCCTTTGCTATGCTGGGAATTTGCATTGGGCATAAACTGTTTATAACAACACACGTTTTACAAGGTGACTGGATAGTAGTAAAAGAACATTTTCCAATGCACACATCTAAATTTTTGAAAGATTACTTGCATATCTTGCTCTTACTGTGTCCACTAAGAGCTTGCTGACAGTTATGTCATGCTGTAGGTTTTTTTTGTTTGTTTGTTTTGTTTTTATTTTTCCATCTGAATTTGAAGTTTGATCTAAACTTTAATTTGGGATTTTTAGATGAACCCATTCAACAGGTTAAAAGGGGTGGAAAATGGTTACATGGAGCATTATTAGGGAAATAAAAAAAAGAACTGTTGTCTGTAGAATACCCAGTAATTGGTCAATCCCTGTTGCCTAAATACACCCAGTACTATTTAAGGTAATTATGCTAATCATCAGAGTATTTAGCCACAAACTGAATTCATGAAGAAAAATGAAAATGCTGTTCTAGCGTACCAGTGAAATCTGTCTTGACAATTTAATTCAGCATTTATTTAATTGAATAAGAGCAATAAAAAATTAATTGTGCTTTAGGATTTCTACTTCTTCTGACTTGTCAAAAAAATTCAAAACTCAAGGTATGTCAGTCAATGAAAATGCCTGAAGCACATCCAATATCACTGTGTTTTATAGATTAATGAAACAAACTGAGCCGCCATGTGCACAGGTATAAATAGTTGATTATTTACCTGCCTTTCTGCTATTTGAGGACAAAGCAAAATGTGAATAACACCCTCCTCCCCGCACACCTGTTTGTTTCTGAGGAATGTTAATCGGCTTCCTAGTGCCAGCAGGCTACAATCACCAACTACTAATTATTTTTAGATAATGATATTGGTAGTGTGGTAGTTGTTTGATTACTCCTTGGACATCTTTACTACTTCTCAGGTTATCATCTAATTACCTGAGGTGAGAACACTTAATTGGAGAAGATTTTTAAATGAACTTCCTGCAGCATCTATGATTTTTTCTTGGAGAACTCTATACCTAGTTTAATTTTGAAGGCCTTATACTTTCATTTTCATTAGACATTAAGTTTTCCAATTTACCAGTTGCTGTGTACTCCCTAAGTGAGGTTATAATGTATCAGGGTTATCAGCTGGAAGGCTGGAAAGAACAGTTCAGTTTCCATTCCATGCAGAACAGTTGCTACGATAATTGGATCTAGGGTTATTTTGTATGCTCCAAAAAGTTATTTTCTGAACTCATTGCTCATCTTTATAGTGGAGAGAGAATGTTACCTAGCAGATAATAAAATATTTTGGAATTATTTCATATTTGGAGATGCAGTAGGGCATCAGAAGTCTGATGTTTTAGTACTTGAGGTTGTTAGTGAAATGTTCTCAGTTGTGACCAGCGGAGCATTAGGATCTAGCTAAGGTGTTGTTATTTTGTGTAAGTATGTAGCAAGCAGATTTCAAGGCACATGTTATGGTGTTTATTCCATCACGGGAATGAGTGGTGTTTTTATATTTCACTTAGTAAAGCATTGTTCTGGCAAGAAAAATGTCTTGTTTTTCTTCTGGCTTCTAGTAAAGTTTCTATGGCTAATGACAAATATAAGATGCATAAGTGAGACACAGAGCTGTATTCTCTCATGTGATCATTTTGTCTGGCCCAAGAAGTCTTGAATTATTTTCCTTACGATAGTGTGACTTCAGCCAAATACAGTAGAATAGTTTGCAGCTTGCTGATTAAGTGTTTTATGGGACAGTAGATCAGAATTTGAGGTCCCTCATCCTGAGGAGGGAATCAAACCTGTGCTGTGTATTTCTTAGGCATCTGCTAGGCTCTTACATGAACAATAGATATAGTTTTTTTTTAAGGTATGCTCTAAAAGAGTAGAACAGGTACTGCTTAGCTGTTTAAAGAATCCATGCCTTTCTTAGGAGAAGGATCTAGGATCTAGATCCTAGGATTAGAGATCTATGATGAATAAAAATGCTTTCCATCAGACCTGGAAAAGATATTTAGAGTTACACTACTGTCTATAAAACTTCTGTCTAGACTAGCTTTCAACAATTCTACTCTTCTCCTGCTGAATTAAGGTTGTTTGATCCATTCTTGAGCCCTGTGTAGGTCATGTGGCAACTCTTCTCAAGATCGTGAATTCTGATTTGAGACCAAGCACCAAAATATACCTGTGTGTCTGTATGTAAGCTCTTTATTGTATTAATAACTTTTTTTTTTTTTAATGCTTTAATTATTCTTGGTGTGGAGTCTTCCACAATTGCTGTTGAATTGCTTTTACCTTTGCAATGTTATCATGTACTGAGGCCCTTCCTCACAGACAGATCCATTGGAATTGTGAGAAGATAGTAAGAAGACAGTGTTGTAAAATTTTAACATACTCCCTTGATCTGCATACCAAAGATATTCTTCACTTAATTTGAAGGGAGGGAGAAAAAAAAGAATAGCACTATTTCTCTTGAATTTCTGACCCACTGACAACAAAGAGATTTACATCAGGATTTCATAAATTAAGCATGAAATTGGAAGTGGTATTAATAGCCCTGTGTTACTATTCACTTTATAGGAATTCTGTGGTTAAGTGTAGTAAGTTGCAGTCTTACAGCTTTGGAAATGTTGGTAGAATTTTTATTTTTTTTCTACCCACAATTTTTTGAGTATATGGATTACCTAGCTTTTCAGTTTTAGGTTAAACAACATCCTTTCATTGGAAAAACTGCAAATGGGAAAAAAAAAGCTTAGATTTTCTGTCACTTTACTGAAAAAGTGGAAGACCTAGTCAGCTATTTGTATTGATATTGGTATCAAAACACATGCTATTAAACGCTATGGCATGATGGCAAATACCTGTTTATCTGATGAGCAGCTTTCCTTTAAATTAACAATAATAGTGTTGCAGCCTCATAATCAGCACCGCTGCAGACTGAGGATATCCGCATATATCAGTTACAATGAAAACACAGGTTCTGTGCAAGTGAGAGCCTAGGTTCTCATAGGTTTTAGGCTAGCTGAGCCCTTTTGTGCTGCTCATCAAAAGTACTCAGCATGAAGGCTTGTTTTAAAATATGTTTTCTGCATGTAGGATTGTAGAAAGTAATTTTTTGTTTAATGTAATGGAGAACGCATCTATTCAAATGATTATATTTTATAAAAGAGAAACGTTTACAAGAGAGTAAAAAAATGCAATACTTGAGGATAACAGCATTAGAGTATGGTAATTTCCAAGTAACTGTTGCAGAAATGTAAGCTTTGTGAATTAGGAGGAAGTCTTGAAATAGGAGCAGATTGCTTTGTATCTTTTTACTTTGCATGTTCACAAAGCTTGTTTTTAAATGTGATATATTCCAACTGTGAGATGACAGAATGTGACTAGTGGGTCTTCTCATCTTCTAATCCAAGTTCAGGTGTGCTGCTTTTAAAAAATAGACATTGGGTAAGTCAAAGAATTTGGGAGGGAAACAAACACAGAATACATGTACTGAGAAATCAAAGCACAGAATTAGAATGAGAAAACAAAAGGAAAGAAATGAGGGTGAAATAAAGAAGCTTGGTTCCACTCCCAAGGATTAGTTAACTTTCCCTTTTTGGCTTGTAAAAACATGGATATTTTTTCCATTTCTGCCATACTAATTTTCTGCTTTCTTTCATCATAGCAATATGAAGTGACTGCAGCTTACGAAGGTGACAGTAAGAGTATATTCGTTCAGTGAAGAGCTGTGTTTTATTGTTTAGGCATGTCACGTTGATGTGTATTACACACATCCCCCACAGGAGGGTTATGATGTGCCTAAATGACAAATGCATTGCTCTTCACAGAACTTCTTGTGACTTGAATTTCTGTATTTATTTGGCAAAACCCCTTAATGGTCTTGAGTTTTCTGTCAGGTCTCTGCAGCCTGACTGCTGCATGGGAAACGTAGATCACAAACTTGTCAGTCAGGTAAAAGCAAGAATGTTTTACAGCCTTTTAATTATTTGAACAAATAGGATAAATAAGGACAAAACAAAACACCCTACCCTTCCGTACACGTTTGTCCACTGAAGTTCTTGAAGTTCAAAGATAGCTTTATCCTCAAATGTCTGACAGAGCAATGCAGTAGCAAGTACTATGTTGATTAATTCTGCCAACATTTACTATAAAGAACCTGTTTAGGTTGGCTCTTAGACTTGCTTTGTATTTCTGTTATCCACCTAAAGGTGTGAGAAGGTGTTTTTTTTTTTTTTTTTTTAATTTTTATTTTCAAGTAAAAACAACTTTTTGCTGCATAGAACTCTATGAACCAGTTTTACAAAATGTGCAAAAATTGGCCTTGTTTTTCTGTTATTTCATTCAATGAATGAGTGTTACTAGAACAACTTAAGCCAGAGTTCTACTTGTGACATTTAAATATGTTAGAGTGGGAAATTAAAAACAGTGTAGATAAGTGCATATTTTATAAATGTGATAAGACAAAGGGACAAATAGATTGCTAACCACATCAACAAACTGTTCTAAGGCATGCTTTTTCACCTTTATCCTTTATTGTCTTATGGTTGGAGAGGAACTTTGGAAGGCTGCATACCTTAGAAAATAACAGATTTTTCTTTTCTGACCAAACTTGTCTGCCGTAGCATTGGTGAATATAAAAATAGTAGTGCAGCAGTGAGGTTAAACTTGCACTAACATAGAAATTACTGAAATTTCTTTAGTTATTTTAGCAAGCCAAAATGGAAATTGTTGGTTTCTGAAATCAGAACATTTCTAATATTTTAGTTCAAAGTTTTTAATTCTTTTCCTCTAAAGATTTCATATGAACTATCCTAACTATATGAACTATATTAGTTCATATTAAGTATTGTTGGGAAGAACAAGTTTTTAATTTCCACTGAACTGTACTTTGAATTGTTTGAAAAATTTCCATGCAGGACTAAGCTTTGATACTTTGACCAAGGGAAAAAAAATCTGAGAGTACGTCTACAGGGTGTTATCTTATTTTTATCAGATCATAAGACACTTGAATTCTGCAGTTCCGGTGTACTAACTCATCAAAACTGTCATTCAGTGTCATCATTTTTCCCCTCTATCTTGAGGGCATGATTTTATACATACATACATACATACATA